GTGAAGGAGAACTCGGAAGTTGGACTCTTGTCTTATGCGATAGCTGGCGGTGACAAGCAAGTCAAGCGATCTCTACGTCTCGATAATCACGACGAGCTGGCCAAACTCGATTCCAAAGATGAGGAAAGAGTCCCCAGTGGCATGGTGGACGACGTCGTAGCGAAGGTGGGGCAGAGCAAGTTGAATGATTTGATCAAGAAGAACCTCGACGAATTTGCCGACTTTGCAGCCCAAGGAAAGAAGCTGTTGGGCAAAAGCTCAGAAGCTACGAAAAACTGGGGCAAATTGAAAGCTTCAGTGCTAAGGGGAAAACTCAAGCCTGCCTACGAATATGCCGACCAGTTAAGCCTCTCAACTCTGCAGCAGTTGGACGAAATCCAAAAGCTGAGGAAGGTGGATATTAAAAACGGCGTGAAGGGAAGTAAGAAGACACCTGATGGAATGCGCAGGAAATTTGCTACCTCTAACCCCCCTAAAGAGAGGATACTTCCAAAAGAAGAGTATTTGGTGTCCCACGTAGGCCGTGACATGCAACGTTATGGCAAAGACGGTAGTCGACTCTTGTCGGCAGGCGTGGTTACGCGGACTAACGAGCAAGGCCAGCTTCAGATCCTCTTGATTTCGAGCTCGAATCCGAATAAACACGACTTTTTACTACCCAAAGGTGGGTGGGACAAGGGCGAGAATATCAAGAAAGCGGCTCTGCGTGAGGTCATCGAAGAAGGAGGAGTACGTCGATCCACGTGTCCCCTATTTGATCATTAGTATTGAATTTTAACCTCCTTGAATTGCAGGTGAATGCACAACTAGCGCACGGTCTGGGAAAAGTGAAATTTAAAGAAGGGGAAGATAAGTATACCTACTTCGCTTACTTGATGAAAAGCAACCAAATTTATGACGACTGGGCCGAGAGTATTCGCTATCGTGTATGGGTACGTATGGCGAGTAGATTCTATCGATATGTATGGCGATCTAACCTATATATTCACTAGGTTACTCCGGATGAAGCGATCGTAATGCTCCAAAAGCGCCCCCACATGCAAGAAGTGGTGAAAAGAGCGAAAGCCATGCAGAACAAAATCACAGCTGGAATAAAACCCGAGCTCAACCCCGACCTAGCAAAAGTCAAGCTTGATTGAACAATCAAATGGGTCCGGTATAATGACAAGATCAACAGCATTAATGACACTATCATAATCAAGATCTTTGATAAATTGATACATATATCCGAAAGGGATTGAAACAACATAACATAAGGAGGGTTGCTATTTCAGAAAGTTGTAAATTTATAGGAATAGTGTCATCAAAATACATAGAGAAGCCCTACAGGTAATGCAGGAGGGTAGTGGGTCAGCTCCAAGTCATGACGTGACGTCATCATCGGCGTCGGTACAGCAAGATGACGGATATTGTAGCTAACAAGCGCTGAACATCCGCAAGAGCGTACCAGTGCAGCTAATTGCAGACGAAAGTTGCGGACGTAAATTGAGGCATATCTATGAGAAGCTAGAAAATGACGAGGATTCGCAACGACGCAGATGAGGACCCTTCGGTGTTCGAGGCCCCCACGCTCTCACGAAGTGGGCCTGTGCGCTCTACAGGGCGGGCTGATAGAGACGAACGTGTACAAGGTCACCGGAGGTCGATAGCGGCCGTTAAATAGCAATCCTGTTCCCACAAGAAATTATTAATAAGTATCGCTGCATCAGAGGTACTTCGTGGGTTTGTTGACTGTTTCGATAATCATTTTCGCATTCGAGAAAAATGAGCATCCGTCCTGAGCTTTCCAGACTGGCAATATGGTTGGAACGTTTGTCAGCAGTAAGTGGAGGAGTAAGAGAAAAATAAGATAATAGTAACGCAAAATTAATTATATGCAGTTGCCATACAATCTTGCCATCACGCGTAGTACAGGTATATCTATTTAACCTGGGGACACCAGGTTAAGTTACGCCCGGTCATACCAGTCTCAACCCATAGATCAGCGTCATACTATAAAGACGAAATCAATATGTTTCTAAGCGATCGTATTTGTGATACATGTTGTTAAAACAATACTACTCCGTTTCATATTACTTGTCCTCTTCTGCGAGGCTGGCTCGGGATTTGTCAAAATTACACGAAAAGGCCTCGGATTGGCCTTAAATGCAAGCTGGAGGCGGTGCGATTTCAATGGTGTGCAGAACTTCAGCTACCAACCAATATTCGATCCGTGGTGGCAACTCGAGTACTTTTCGAGCCAAAATAGTGGCAAACAGGCACAGACGTCGCCCATCCTAGCTCATATCTGGAGTATTCCGAAACTAACCACTCCTCCATTGAGACTAACTAGTGCACAAGACGAGAACTGACACCACGAGAGCGCCAGCAGGACGTTTCCGAGATACTGGCCCACGCGGATGCTGGTAAACCTCGACGCGGGGCAATGAAGGAGGTTGGGCTCCTCCTTCGTGTCCCCAAGAACACTGCTTCAAGGCTTTGGAAGCGCGCCAAGAATAATACAGCCCTGTATGGCGTGTACGAGGCGCCGTTCATGAAGCGGAAGTGCGGTAGGAGACCTCTCGACCTGAGCTCCGCGCTAGAACACCTCCGCGACGTAGAGTTGCAGCACTGTGCATACGGGAAGGTGGTCAGAACACCTATAATTTTGCACACATGTCGGAAGCAAAGCTTCGCCGG